TGTAGCTTATTTCCTCATCTCAAAATCTTAAAGTGATCTTGCTCCCACTCACAATGATAATGGTCCTTGTCGTAGCTAAGAATGGTCGGCCCGTGATTATCGATGCATCACACCCTTTCGTGTCGAGAACCACGAAGTCTACAAGGTAAACAAAATGGGAACACTTCACCTAGAAATTCTCTATGACTCCCCTTGGCTCAAGAACGGACCTATTGGCCAACTAAATCATCATTTTAGTAGGTATGAGTGGTCTAAGGTCTAACTCATTGTATATTCTTGTAGGTATTGATACTAGACCCCAAATCTGCTAGCGGATTCCAAATGGGTTTGACTCCAAAGGTGCATGAAATAGTGAAGATTCCCGGATCTCTTAATTTTGGAGGGAAGCCTTCACATCCGATGGATGCCGAAGGAACTTCACTAACGGATACCATAGCATCTTCTTCTTTTTTCCTCTTTCCTGAAAATATTTCTTTCCAAAATTTAGTATATTTTTGAATCTTCATAACCATGTCTAAGAAAGGGACTATTACCTTCAATTTCTTCAAGGTATCCTTCCATGGAGGACATTCATGATATAGATCACTTTCGAATCACCGTCTAGGATACACTACAACAAATTCGGCCTTTTATGACAAAAAATAAAAATTTTCACTTAGGTTTGTCACAAGAGAAGGTGTAATATGACAAAACTAAAATCTGTCCTATTTGGGATGCCTAATGTGACAAGCTAAAGTGTTGTCATTAGTGTTGGTCATAGTAGGTTGGTAATGTGACAAAATTCTTGTGTCACATATGCTTTTGTCAAAATAGGCATCCCAATTCTGGTGGTTTGGTGAAGGAATCGAGACCGAGCTCAGGTAATTATCCACTATCCCCTTTGTTTATGATGTGTTTATTGTGAGTGAAGAGTGATTGACATCAACCCCGTTCTTCCAGAACTGATTTCCCGTGGTCTAGAGAACCAATTGGGACTCAACGAAGGTAAGATTTAAGGTTTTTCTTTCCTTTGAATTCCTCGATGGTTATGAATATGTGATTGACTTCTGCCCCTTTGATACATAATCAGATTCTCGTGCCTATCAGTAGGAATAGAGATTCAACACAGTTACAAAGCCTACAATCTTTTCATTTATGTTTTGTCAATTGACATGTATGAGGGTATGGGCCATACATGCATGCTCTGGGTATGAGTTCAGAGAATTTCACAAGGTTATGAATTCTGTTGTAATAGATGGTCTGGTTATGTCGTGATTTGGGTGTTGGAATGTGGCTGCTTTGAGTTCAAGTGCCAAAATGGATATATAGTTACTTACAGTGTATGATTATGATTTTGCTTTGATTCTGGTGTACTTACAGTGGATATCTAGTTGCTTTGGTTTCACAAACTTCAGCTAATATTGTATGCGACGCTAAAATGAAAAATTATATGATAGGGATTTGTTACAGTATTACTTGATCCTCTTAACATCCTATTGTGCAAGGTGCATAGAGTGAAGGAGCACCAAGCACCAGGCAAAGGTAAGAAAAGAGGGTCGTGTTTCATTTGGATGTAACCATATTACTTAAATTCTACTTTTTCCTAATGTTCTACTATCTATCTTCTGCAGATCCTTTTTCTCGTTCATCTCACTGTATGCTTCCATCTTAACCCGCTGCTTCGTAAGTGAAGGCCATTGTATATTTTTTCCACAGTCAGAATGAGTAAAAATTGGATTAAGCTTAAGGATAGGTTTTGTGATGAATATCAAAAGGGGGCTTCGGAATTCATAGGGCCTGCCTCTAAACATGTTGACCAGCTAGGTCGAACTAGATGCCCATGTAAACGGTGCAATAATCAAAACTTCAAGAAATTGGTGGTTGTGGAAGATGATATAACTAGGCATGGCATGGTGGAGAGATATAGTACATTGATCCATCATGGTGAGTCTTTTGACTATGTCGATAGTAGTAACAAGCCTAATGAACCTACCTTTGAGCATGACACTGTAGGTTTAGACAATGATATGCCTGATATGTTACATGATCTGCTGCGTGCCAATTCTGGAAATGCTCCTGTTACCGTGGGGACAACAACACCTAACTATTCTAATCTAGCAAACCATACTGATAAATGGGGTCGGCTAATCAGTGATGCCAATTTATCATTATATCTTGGTTGTGGTCATTTCTCAAGTTATCATTCGTAATCAGTGAGCCGCAATCTTCAGGCATCGTCGTTTTTGTCTTCAAACTCGGGGAGTTTGCAAGCCGACTTCACGGTTGCGATTCGTGAGTCGCGGCCACACACTTCCTGGAGATCATGGTGAACAGTGACCGTGATCAGACTGGGGAAACTATCTGCTTCTCCTTGGTTGGCTTCTTCACGAAGTTCGCACCTGTTTCGCTAAACTTGTGCCCTTTTTAGTATTTAATTTGCATGTATTGTATAAACCAACCTAAAATCACATCATGATCAAATAGGAACCAAATAGAGATGCAATCGAAGCTATTCTATGCACATGAATTAGCATGAAACAATACTAAATATGAAGGGTAAAATCACCAATTTGGGTGTTATCAGTGGGAGAAAAAACTCAAAGATACCAAACTACAATACTGAAAATAAATGACTAAATTAACAACTAATCCTATTTCAATCTCGTTATCGAGAAACTTTTGGTTGCTCCCATCAGAACTGGAGTATCAAACATCAGAAGAGTATCAAGATTTTATCAATCGACATCAACCTATTGGGACCAACAACCACCAACTCCTTGCAACAAGATGGGGGGGGGGGAGATGAAGATGAAGTGGAGCTTGATCATGAAATCAACTAAAAGCGAGCCTCATTGAGCGTAGCTCAAAGGCATAAAAGAGAGAACACTTCATGCAGACAACATATGTCTGCCGTCAAACTTACTGAAGTTAAATAAAAAGGCTATCGCGAAGGCAACCAGGATTTCTCTTTCCTATATTGATTTTTTAAATTATAGTTTGTTCTAGCTTGAAATTTTGAGTTACTCAGGAGGAAATCATTGTATCCCTTGGATAGGTATTACATTTGGAGCAAAATTTTGAACTTATGACAAGAATGAAGGATTGTATGATGTGAAAAATAGAACAAAATCAACTTTTGTACTATCGAAGTAAGTGTTTTAACTCCAATATGTTTTGTATAAATTGAGTTAGAATCTTTCCAAATTCGTGTTAAAACAAATAAGATACGAGTCGATTAAAAATGTAGAGAAAATATTAGCTTAGCTTATTTATATTAATAGAGATCAAACGTGTGTCATAATTTATGAATTAATGCAATCAAAAAAATTTGGTACATGAAAACCCAAAGTTGAGATAACTATTGATATAGCTACAAGGAGTATTTTATTGAAGGATTTAAGTTATTACTCAAGAAAGAAAAACACATTACAATAAAAATTTTATCTTAGAGGATGACATCAATTCATAAGTTATTCTAACAAACAAAATTTCATTGGTCGAATTATGGAAGGTCTATAGATTATTCCCTATCTATCATACAAACAAATCAAGATACAAGATAAAGAAAAAGAATAAGATCTTTATAAAAAAAATTGATAATCAAACCCATTTCTCGATTCAATTGAAGCTCAAAGAGGTGAGTAGAATAGGGTCTTAAATTAAATAATGAGATATATATGTAAAAAGCGGGTCCAATTACGCATATTTCTAATCCTAAATAGAATGTAATGACTGAGGTATCCATGCGTGACATAGTATCTATTTAGATAAGCGTGAATGACCCCTTCTCATAATGAGAATGTATATAAGCCAATTCCAGTCTGATCTAGTATGGAATGAATTTACAATTTTTTTTAATATCATCCCTTAAATATAATCCCACTTAAAGGCAAGTGTTTAGGTCAGGGTTGTCAAAACACTAATATGTTGACTGGTACATCCAACTTCTATCGGTGTTGAAGGCAAACCGGCTAGAAGACCACCGATATAAAGTGGTAGTCAAAATCAAGGGAAAAAAACCGTCGAAATGGTCAATTTTGGTCCATAAATAAAATGACCCTTTTTTGGAGGAATTAATTAACAAAAAGAAAGGAATTTACTAGATTCAACTATCCACATTTGGATATTAATGTTTTTGTTTGATTCAAGCATAAATATTTGGATGTTGACGTTAAATGTTGTAAATATGACGATTTTTCATTGTAATGTGTTATTTTATTTGAATGTGGATATAATTTTATGAAAACGGTCTTAATATATATTATATATGTATAATTTATTTAATATTAATGATTTCTTATAGGGATGGCAAAAATATCCGTGACTGTGGATATCGGCCCGAATCCGACCTAATTGGGTAGGATAAAACCCGAACCCGAAGGACTTATAGTGGGTACGGGTAAAACCCGAACCCGAATATTGTGGGTAATGGGTGGGCATGGGTTTCTTACTATCCAACCCGAACCCGCCCGATTATACACATTCATATGTATTTTGTATAGAAATAATCATTATTTTTCTGTAACTTATTTAATATTTAGCATATAAATATAGTATTTTCATGAAATTGTATTGTTTTAATTAATTTTTTTTCATTCTAGTGAATTATTGTTGTATTTTTCCTTTTATGTAATGTGAGAATACGCGAGAATGTTAATATATTGGTTGGTGTTATGAAGAAAAATTATTACTCATGGATAACCGTGGATACCCGAAATCCGAACGGTTATGGGCATGATTTTGATTTTCTACCCGTTTCTTATGTGGGTATGGGTAAAACCCAAACTATTTTGGGTAGGGTAATGGATATGCACTATCCGCATCCGACCCGACCCATTACCATCCCTAATTTCTTAAATATTTGGTTAAACTAACATACTCCATAAAATAAAAAATATATATAAACTAGCATTCAAAACCTTCCGTGCCCCGACCGGACTTAGAAACCCGACATAAACCGGTTCGATTATTCAGATCTGTTAAAACTTAAAATTGAATGGCATAACCAAAGTTTTACCCTACTCGAGGCCTCCTTAACTCCCCACTGCCCACTGGACTTCCGCTCTTCTGCTTTTCGTGCTCTCTGTGAATTGCCACGGTCTCCTGTTTCGCGAACCGCCATGGCCAACAATCCCTCACAGCTGCTCCCCTCTGGTCCGCCCCTTTACTCTTTGCTTCTGCCTTCTTCTCTGTTTAGTTTTGCCTGGAGAAGACGGCAGCGTCAGGAAAAGCTACTTCCGTTGTCTTTCTTTCTGACTGATTTTTCCGTTTGGTTCCCCAACCCGCAGAGCTGATTGATAGGTGCATAGGTTCCAAGATATGGGTGATAATGAAAGGGGACAAGGAGCTTGTGGGCACTCTCCGGGGCTTCGATGTCTACGTTAACATGGTCCTCGAAGACGTCACTGAATAGTGAGTTGCCCGCTTCTTGCTGCTATTTCCTGCTCTCTGGAATTAGGGTTTGGGGTCAAATAGGCACTATAGGTTTCAGTCTTTCTGGTTGAGTTTTTGAATTGGCATTACAGGTTGTGGCTTGTCTATATCTGTTGCAGTTCCCTGATTTTGAACTCGTGGCTGGGTGATCTGGTTGTGCCCTTGTATGATCTTGCTCGGTACTTTTGGGTTTTGTAGAACACGTAGGAAAGGGTTAGATGCTGCTATGCTACGTGTGGGAGAGAACCAATGTTTGTGAAACCGTACAGTACTGGCGGTGCGACCAGAAAAATCTTGTACTGGAGCACACAAGTTGGTATATGGTTTTACCGGTATGAAATAGTTGAACCACGGTTTAAATACAAAACACTCTATCATTGAATTATCCGACACAACCGTGGTACGGTTTTACAATCCTTGTAGAGAACATTCAGAATTATATCCTTGTTATTTAGTAATCTTAGTGAAGTACGAGTCAGGGGGTTTGAGTGATAGGTTTATTACTTATCGTCAGCTTCTTGCTCATAAAGAATGTTTACAAATGCCCTCTTACTCTGAAACAACTATTGGTATGCTTTAAACTTTTTTAATCTTCACAAATTCTTGGGTACTGTCCTCTCGCAGTTTGGCCTGGTTTTAGTTGTAAGCCTGTATTCTTATTTGTTCGTCTTAGGAGGATTGTGATGTTAGTAATACATCATTGTGTTATGGTCTCCCTTTCTTCTGCCAGTCATGCTTTTCCCTTTGAGAAACCCTTGTATACGCTGAGACTGACATCTTCATATTTGCTTCTTTAATGTTACTCTTTTTTTCCCCAGTGAAATCACTTCAGAGGGGCGGCGTATAACTAAGCTTGACCAGATATTGCTCAATGGAAACAACATTGCCATCGTAAGTTAAAATATATTACCAGCTTTGCTCTGTGTGTCATTGCCTTCTGGCAGTGCTTGTGGGACTGGTCCATCGTGCCATTTGGGAGAGCTATGTCATTAACCTTTAAGAAGGTTGTATCCTGCATCTTGGCCCTTTAATTGATTCCCTTATCAGTGCAGACAAGGATTGATAATTAGGATGCATTCTTCACCACTCTGTCCTAATGACACACTACTATATGGACTTCCCATGAATCTAAATGCACCGAGTATAATTGGATAGTCCATGATGATTTGAATGTAAACTTGTAGAGAACTGGAGTCTATCATGTGATTCATGTCCCTAATTTGGTTTTATGGTACAGTGAATCAGAATATAAATATTATAACTATCTTGCTTTGATTTTCAGATTGCTTCATTTGCGATCTGTCATTCAGATTATGCTTAAGGAAATTTGTTACTTGACCAGATAGGCTTATTTGGTTAGTCTAAGTAGTACTACAAATTATCGATAAATTCAGTATTAATGTTGAACAATGTGTTCTTTGCAGCTGGTTCCTGGTGGTTCGCCTGATCCGGAATGAGAGCTTTGGTGAGGGCAACTCTGTAATGTGATTGAGGGCAGAACCCCTTCTCGGTTTTATTGAGAAGTTGAGCGAATTCACGGTGGCCCTCCCGAATGTACTATCTAGTTTTATGGTATTTGATGCAGCTCTTGTACCCTACTTTTGTGGTTGTTTTATTCAAGTCTGGATGTTATTGTTAAGACAAGCGCTCTTGGTCATCTTTTGACGCTGCTATGAACACTCTTTGTCTTAAGCAAATCTTAGACAGGTTTTGAAATTTGGAGGAGAAAATGGATCGATATCTGTTTATGCGCTTTTAGTTTGGCGGTCGAATATGCTTTATGCAGTAGTCATGTATATTGCTTCTGCAACAATCGAACTCTGATGTCAATCCTAAAGGACGTAAGGACTTCTAATAATAAACCGGCAAAATATACTCCCATAATTAGAACTTCCACGTTTGTGATAATTATAGTCAAAATCTTTGAAATACACAAAGTAATCAAGATTTTGATGGTTGATGACAAATCTAGTTGTTTTCGTTACAAACTTCAACAAAGTTACAGATCATGTCAATTAGGTTAAAGACAAGCTGAATAGGATACCAAATTAATGCACATGTCAACAACAAACATGGTAATAATGGCCAATAACTAAACTAATGTCTCATTATGAAAGCATTATTAACAATATCTCGTCATTTCTTTGCCAGCCTTCACCTTCCTTAATAATTTTTTGGATATTTACAAAATCATTATCAAGGATATCTCGTCAGTTTTGAACGAATGTCCTGGAATGTTAAAAACGACTAATTTTAGTAAACCCATTGACCTAACTTCACCACTCTGCCTATTCTTCTTTAAGTCTCAATTTTGCGATTTGTGTTTTGAGTTTTAGCGATTAACGTTACTTTGTAAGTATGTTTTGTATTACTTTTTATTGCAAGTTTGTTTTACGATTAACAATGACAAATTTTATGATATTAATTTAGTTACTGTTTTATTGCGAATGGCATTCCAAAAGTTTACGCTTGGGTTACGGTGGAAAGGTTATACGGAAGAGACCGAAAAAGGGGGTACGTTACGTCAGTAGTAATTTTCATAAAGTGAAGGTCGCTACGAGGCCGAACCTTGAAGAGCTCTGTCAAATGTGTATTGAGGTTACTTGCATGGATGACACGAGAAGAGTTGATCGTATGGTGTATCGATATCCAAAAAAACAAGGCGGGTCGTTGTGGCATGAGGAATTTCTCATAACCACTTAGCAGGACGTTGATGCCATGGTCGAATTTTTTTTTATCGCCAATAGCATTTCTAAAATAGAGATGTTTGTTTGCACCGAGGCGTTCGAAGGCGGCGGAGGTCATTCTAGAGATGGCCAAACATCTGGTATCCAAAGAGGAGGTGGATTATACGAAGATTATCCCTACCAAGGTTACCATGATCCTCATTCCTACCATGAGTACCAAGAAGGAGGTGGATGTCATCATCAATCCTTCCCATCATATGAAAAAGAAGCCCAAGGGTACATGACAACCAACAAGAAGACTACCAGTACCAACCCGAGTACAACTTCTATGCAGGCAGCATGAGTTATCACAACTACCATTACGGAGCTGATGAATGTGCCTTTCATGATCTAGATCTAATGGAAGATATCCTACCAGGTCAAGTTTGTGACCCTGAGGATGAAGAAGAGGAAGGCAATGTCACTGCAGACAACTTTGATAGGATATCTTCCATTAGATGATGATGAGGTGTTTCGTGACCCTGTACCTATCCCGTACTACAATCACATTCCAAATGAAAATTGGTATGTTGATGCCGACATGGAGCCGCCAGAGGTGCCGGTATGGGGTCCACTCACTGGGTTTACGAAGGACCAACAATTTGGTATGAAAAAGGAGGTGCGACACGCTATTGACACTGAAGCAACGACTCAAAGTTTTGAATGAAACACAACTTATTCCGACACAAAGATGCTCATAGTGAGATGCCAAAATCAACACGAGGGATGCAAAGCTAGGGTTTGGGTCATCAAGAGCAAGAGATTCGGCCATTGGGTCATATCTCTTGCGGTGAATACTCACACATAGGGCATTTCCCATTTTTATAGGAACTTCTGTACCTGAAATAATGGTACCTCCAATTATAGCTCTAATTTTTTTTGAATGCCATCAATTTTCGATAACATCCCAAGGCCATCGACAGTTGAAATCCATGGTGGTTGTCGCGAATATCAATTATCTAATTGAGTAACAGCCCGACCAAAAGGTGAAAGCCATCATCGTAGACATTTCTAGTCGTTATGGATATATTATAAACTATAAGAAGGCGTTGCACGAAAAGCAGAAAGCAATTGCTGCCATGTTTGGTGACTAGGAAGAATCATATGCATTCCTTTCCAGATTGATTTTGGCATTGGAGGCGTCTAACCCTGAAACGGTTTTCTCCCTCCGCTACCAAGATGAAGAAATCTAGCCACCAGAGCCCGATAACAAATGCCATTTCAAACGTTCTTTCTGGTCATTCAATTCATATATTGATGGTTTTCCCTTTTGTCTCCCTGTGATACAAGTGGATGGAACATTCATTACCGGCAAGTACAAGGGTACTCTACTCATCGCCAGTGAAGCGGATGCAAATAGAGGTGTCTTTCCTCTACCCATCGCCATTGTTGGGAGAGAGAATACCGAAATCTATGGATGGTGTTTCTGACAAATTCAACTCCACGTCACCAGGAAGACGAACCTAACAATCATCTCTGATCGCCACGCATGGATCAGGGCTGCCATCTTAGGCTTGGATCCAGTCGGGGGTGGTGACACAGGTGGTGCATACGACACTTCAAGAGAAATTGGAACCATAATTTCCTTATAAATTAATTTTGTTAACTGGGAAAATATGCTAGGAAATACAATGCAATACTTCCTTAGAATCATTATAAAGAGATGCATGTCTAAGGAAATAGGGTCTTAAGCTATAATCATTATCCTCCCATTTCTTGGGAAAATAAGGTGTTAATAAGCGATCTTCGGATTCCCCCTTTTATGTAAAAAAGGCGGTGTTTCTAAGAAGATGTATACCTCTCCTAAGAGTCTGACGAGTGTACTTGTATTGAGTTAAATTACTGAAAACAACCAATACGAATTACAACTTACCTTGCACTTTTTTTTGTATATTCATCAGCTATTGCCTACCAAGAGAAGAAATTCAAGGAGAAACTGCAGAAGATCCATGAGCTATGCCCTGAAGGTGCGCATTGGCTGGATCAACATGAGCTAACCATGTGGAATTTTCATAAGGACGGAGGTACCATGTGGGGTATTGCCACAACAAACTCAAGTGAGAGTATCAACAACGTCTACAAGGTTGTTCGTGAACTCCCAATCTCTGCCATTGTTGAGATGACATATTGGAAAATAAACCAATGGTTCGTTAATCGACTACCGGGCTGCGTAGAGGGAGGCACAGGGTAAGGTCCATTACGATAAACATAATTAATGGACAAAGACAATCGAAAGAGCAGTCGGCACAAGGTCACCGTTATGAATCAAAATGCTGGCGAGTATTCAGTAGAGACCAGGCACAGGGAGGATGGTGTACCTGGGGGACATCGCCACAAAGTCAATGTCAACTTTAGAACAAAAAGAGGAAAGTGCTCTTGCTAGAAGTATCAGGGGAGAGGTTTACCGTGTTCTCATGCAATGGTTGTACTCAAGCACGGGAGTAAAGACCCCCTTCGCTTCGTGAGTCCTTTCTTCGACATCGAATCACTCAAAAGCTGCTATGGAAGGAGTTTTTGTGCATTGCCGGATGAAGCTTACTGGCCAGTGTAGTGATCATCCCACCAGTCGGACTAAGTCGTGAACCAGGTCGGTTGAGGGTAGAGAGGATTTATAACAAGTTGGATCAAAGTGGAAGACCACTGTGAGTGCCAAGGCAGTGTTCCATCTGCAAAGTTCTAGGGCATGATAAACGAAAATGTCTTGGACCAATTGGTCCTCAGAATTAAGGGCCCGGCGTGGTGAACTTGGATAAAGACGCATAGATTGCTTGATCATTTATTTTCCGTTGGTAGGCAAATTGTTGTTATTTCCAAATTATATAGTTGGCCTTTGTGTGAGGTCAAAGTCATAGTTTTTTTGCAAAATGGACCACTATTTGTCATTATAGTCCAACTTGTTTAACTTAACAAAATAAACACAACACTCAAATAAGTCAAATTTTTAGAACTCAAAATAAATTAAATACAACACTCAAAGAAGACCTCTGCTTCCTTGTTCGATGTGCGATGGGTTCACAGGGTGTAACAATGGTTGGATGCGGTGGCAGAGATCGAGCTGCCGTGGTAGGGCGCTGGTCCGTGCTATGGCGACGCCGGTCCGTACTAGGTGGCTCTTCCGTGTGGGGACGGCTCACATCCACGCTCATACTGTGGGGAGTGGTAGGCCATTGATGCTGAGGTCGATGCAATGGCTGGAAGTCTTGGTGGGAACTCGAGGAGGAACCATCATGCCAAGTAGCTGAGGATGTGTTGTCATGGTAAGTACTTGACCGGGGGTCGTAGTAAAAACTTGGGTGGGGCTCATAGTAAGTACTTAGGTCGTAGGGGGTACTCGAACGAGGGTCGTAGTGAGTACTCGGGTGGGGCTCGTAGTGAGTACTCGGGCGGGGGTCGTAGTGAGTACTCGCTCCGCCATCATGGTAAACCTTCAAAGGAGTAGGCACGCGCCACGCCTCAATTTGCTTGATCTCTGGCACGTGAGGTCTATCCCTTGTGCTCTTGTTTTGTCTTCTTTCGTATGGTGGTGGCGGGTTGGGGATATCATCCATTACCCGATGTATAGGCGCAGGGGGCATCAGCGAGTATCGTAGATGATCACGCCCACATCCGCTCCACAGTTGTTGGAGTGACAATCTCTTCATCTTGCCTATGCTCCCATAGCACGATGAAATCTTTCAACTTGTGCGGCCAATTAGTAGGTCCTTGCCGACCATCTTTCTCGTGGTGTGCCCTTTGACTTGCAGGGACCTAAGGGTGAGCATTGCTCACGTCCAAATTGCCGTAAGCATCGATCGGCAACTGCTACTCCATAATATGGTGACAAATGAGTGAGACTCGCGTGCACCATTGACCGGAATTCAACGAGAATTTGTGGACGTGATGGTGAACGACATTGTCAGGGTACAAATCAAATACTAACTACAAAGGTGATGCCCAAATTTAACCATCAAACACATAAATAATGCACGTTGAAAATAGCAAAGGATGTAGATGTATTATGATGGTTACCTCTGCTTCCCAAAGGTGATCCAGCCTCCTACGATACTCTTCTAGCTTGTGCTCGACTAGCTTGTTGCACGTTGTTTGACCAAGCCACCTTATTCATGAGGAAAATCATACAA